ACACACACACACACACACACACACACAGGTCTAACCTTGTCCCCAAAGAATATTTTCGAGTTGTTAGCAATTGCTTCGATGAATTTGAGTTCCAAATATTGTGGAGTAAGCATCAACTTGTTTGCTTCTGCTTCCTTCATTGTCCTGAAGATGCAAGCATCGCAATGCATCAGTTACCCTCCCAAAAGATTTTTCTGAGAGCTCCAGTTACCACTTCCCAAATTTATCAACAGACCTATGAAGGAAAGGCAAAGAAAATTCACCGATAGAAACTTGCATCAGCCAAGCTCTTTTCACGAGCCATGTACATGGCATTGGCTATTTCCTCTTGCCTCCTTGCACTGTCTTTCTCAGTCAACTTTTGTTCCATCTGGATCTTGCTAACGTGTGCATTCTTCTCAGCTTCACTTATGGCTATTTTCTTGTGTGTCTCAGCCTCTTTTTCGGCCACCATCTGTCTCTCTATCGCAATCAAGACCTACATTTAGAATTCGTTACTCAACAGAAACCAACATACATTATACTTGGTCAAGGGTAGATAAGTGCCCAAATCTAATCCCCTACCCCATAAGAAATGCATCAAGGAAAGCAAGAGAGAATTCATCACTCTTTGGGCAACAATAACAAATGGAAAAGTAGGTTTGAACCATGATATATGAAATAATAAAAAGTATTTTTGTTGATGAAGAGTCCCAAAGACCTTGAAGACATAAGATGGAACCAACAAGACTGTTTATTGATATATCTACATGACATATTTATACATCTGAATATCTGATTGCTTAAGTCAGAAGTTCATGCTAACATGTAAAACCACGAACAACAATCCAAAATTCTTCACAACCACGAAAGGATGCAGTCTATTTATTACATACTCTGGTTACTAGACAAAAGAGAGAAAAAAAGTTTAAGATAAGACCCAAATAAAGTACCTTAGTGCGTTCCTCTTCCATCTGTTGAAAATTCCGCCTTATGCTATCTGGAATAGTGGGTTTTGTGACACGCACACTGATAATTTCAATACCTGGAGCATAACGTGTACAATCAGCTTGAAGAGCATCTTTCATTTTCTCATCGATCTGAACGTTTAAGAACAGTTATTTTGTCAAACACAAGCACCAACCAAAACAGCAAATTGCAAATAAAGAGGGAAGCGGCAAAATCATCATCAAGAAAAACCAGCTTATTAGTCATGATGTCCCATACATTACGAGTTGCGTGCACAAATCTTATTGATAAGTATTAAGCAATAAATAAACAAAGTAGTATTAAGTAATATTTCATTTATTCGCATATCAGCCCAATAGCACTTAACCATAAAAACTACTAACTGCTCGTTCACCAATGGGGACCACCAAAGAATCGGGAAACCATACTACACCCAACAACAACGATTAGATGTTCTTGAAACTTGCAAGGATTGTTCAAATCACAGAACTCAAACAAGTGAAAAATAAATTAATGTGAGACCTTCAAAAAAAGAGGGATCACATAGCATTCTGTGACTTCAAATGTGAAGTTGACTTAGTTTAGTGTTTTACCTGATCAAACATGTCAATATATACTTGCTGAAGGGAATGAACACTGCAAAACTGATTGATCTCATGGTGAATTTTGTCATATATCCACGTATTGTCATAGCGTACACCATAGTTGAGCAGTGTTTCATGCACATAGTCCTTTTTAAGGCGGTTAACAACCTAAAGGCATATTTATAGTTATTGATAAACATAAGGAATACAAAAGAAATATTTAGACAACAAAACAGTAATAATGCCAAATAAATAGCAAGAGCCCATAGGTATACTTCTATCTTCTCAAAGTTGATCATAACACCTCCTTTTGTCCCACAGGGAATATCCCTCACCTGCATTTTATGACAACATTGACAAGACATAAGACTAAGCAATTAGTCACGAAATCTTTTAATTGGGCATAATAATGGAAGTATGGCATTTTTCATTTCAAAATTGAAAATCTTCACACACACACACACACACAAAAAAAAAGGAAAAGGAAAAAAAAAAGTCTCACCAAATCTGTTTGAAGGGTAACTTGAATAGGCTCAAAATGGGTAATCAAAGGCATTTTTAGATGAAAACCTACAAATCACCCAATGCATTTTAAAATGACCAAATCTGAGACAAGAAGCAGGCAGTCTAAAATCCAAGCAGATATAGAAACAAATCAAATGGTGAAAAAAAAAAAAATACACCTGGACTCGTAATTATATCTAAAAGGGCACCTCCTTGCCAATAAACCCCAACATGACCCTCTGGAACTTGGTGCAAGATAGACAAACTATTCTCTAACGTTGATGATGGTAGAATAACCACCTGTAAATATATTATCACTTTAGGTTACACAAGGTCACTCTTATTTCTAGAACATGAATCTAGCATTCCTAAAATCAGTGTGTCACATAAATGTCAACATATTGTGAGAGCACCAACCTAGTGATCTTCCCAAAAAAGATCTTATTTCCATTACCATTATTAGATAAAAACATTGTTACACCGCTCTCTAACAGTTTAATCTTTTAAAACAATTAGTGGTTCAACAAGGTATATATGATTTTCTCTAAACCACAAGTACGGGATAGAGTTTTCAACCACAACTCTAATGTAACCTTTTATGATATCAGAGCTTAAAGGCCCCAACGTCAATCACACTACGCCTCCTCTCTTACTATGCAAAACAAACACGTGAATGGACCACCCAAGATGAACCACATGTGAAGGGGAGTATAGATAAATACATATATTATACTCCTCTCTAACAACTTAAGTTTTTAGAGCAATTGGTGGCTCAACAGTCATATAGGATAAAGTGGATCAGCAAGACAATACACGAACTAGAGTCGATAAATAACCCGAGAAAAAATATAGTGAGTTACTCGTCAGTGTTATAATGTGCATGTTGTTTTGGTTTGGACATCAGAGAAAGTACGAGAAAAGCAATGAATAACATGAATTTTACAAATTCAACAATAAGGAACCACATAATTCATGTGCAAACCAAATATAATTTCAAGGCAAGCCAAATCACTGTGCACCACTACGAGGACCCTTGATTAACATCAAGACTACGTTGTGGGCTTTTACAGAT